AAAAATCTTAACATTTAATTTAAATACCTGATATTTTGTGTACGAAAACCTTGTAATGTTTACCAATAATCTGCAAAATTTTGTAAAGATGTGCATATATTATCAAAAATCATAGTATAATTACTCTCATGGATACTGTCGTGGTTACGAGCTGGGTGGATTCCACCCTGCCCGTAATGGAAGAGATAACTAAAATTAGAGTTAATTGTTAAACTAAGTAAGAATTAGTGGCTATATTAGTGTACTTATTTTCAAGAATGATGAGAAGTAGAATTTGAAATAAAAGACAAGGTCAAATCAAATAATGCTTGTTTGAGCACAATATCAGTTACATATGTTTTATTTTCTACTTATGTTCTACTGCATCAATATTACATAATGTTAAATAATATTGAACAAAATTAATATCAAATCATACTCGCTTGAGTACAGCATCAGGTAAATTCTATAATTTCAATTATCATTTTAAGCTATTGACTCTGCATATTTTTTCTGTTGTGTTAAAGAGACAACAGCATATAAACCAGTATACTAATTGTAGATTTATATATATTTTGAATCTGTGAAATCTGTACCAACCTTTCATGGTTTGTGTGGATATTGTTTATGTTGACTCTTTTATTTAAGCTTGGAGCAGACAATGCCTGGACGTGTCTTTCATGCCATCGACGGCAACCTGGGGCTAAGCAATTCAGCTTGTGGTCTTGTCCAGATTATCTCATTGTTCATTTAAAACGATTCAGACAGGTAAGAAAAACATGTGAATTATTTACTTGTGCATGATGTCTTGTCTTAGAACTGCTGACTTTTGTGTGATAGATTTGTGCATGGTTTACAGTGTGAAAAAATACTTTCATATCTTTAAAGTTAGAATTTAAATATACAAAATTTTAACTATCAGCTTGTTGGAAAGCAATTTACCTTATAAATTAAGTCTTCTTGTATCAGGGGTTACATCTTAATTATTTCCTGAACAAAATAAGAAATAGTAACCAAACTTGAGACTGGAAATTGCAACTAGTATTATTGTAAATAAGTCTGTTTTAATTGGTACAAATGGTGACAAATTTTGTAGATTTTCATTAAATGTATAAAGGAATATGCATTGTTTATGACTTAATGTTTTTTTATTTTTAAAGGTTTTAATTTACTTTGTTATGAGAAATATGAAACATTTATCGAGAAATTATAAAAACCTAATGCACTAAATGCAGCATAAAAGTTATTAATTTGTTATTAATAATAAATGCGTTATTAAACTTTACTTTCATGAATGACAGAAAATTCAAAAGAATCAGATACAGATTAGGAGAGTCCACTGTACTCCTGTGTAATTTTGTTACATTTAGGTTTTCTTGATATGTTATTTATTAGTTCCTTGTTATTAAATACTGAATATTACACTTACGATATTTTAAAAGCATTTAAATAGTTTTTTGATAATGTATACTATTGAGTGAAACATTGTTTTGAATCTTCAAAGGTAATCATAGCTGTGTGGTAACCAGGTAGTTAAATATTTTAATTCCCGTTTCAGTCCACCAATCAGCGCACTAAGCTATCTACCCTTGTAGAATTTCCCACTACAGGACTGGACATGACTCCCTATGTTGCTTATCGAAACCACACGCTACTTCATAATCATCCCAATGGATTGTGGACTTGGTCACCATGGAAACGTCCTAGACCACAGAATTTTGCTCATCCTGATGATAATGTGTACGAGCTGTATGCAGTGTGTAATCATCATGGCAACATGGAAGGGGGGCATTATACAGGTAATATTAGCATCGAAATAGCATGTATAATGGTTTTAGTTTATCACTGTTAAGATTGTATAGATTGGCAGTTGTAAATAATAATAACTTCAGATCAGAGTAAGCTATGTACTTAAAGCTGAACTAAAAATCAACATGGCCATCACTATAGCTAATTTAAAAATACCTTTCTTATGTATCTACATAAAAAAGATTAGAATGTATTGCTTCATCAGTTGTATATTCTCCCTGTTAATGATATTTTTGGCCATAAACTCAATAATATCTCACAAGGATTAGCCATCGTAGAAGATGTAGGTTATTCCTAAATACAAATTCTAAGCTAACAATGCAAATCAATCTTTAAAATGAAAGTATAATAATGAACAATTAGTTAAAATACAAGTAATTACATTTGATATAGTAACTAATACAATCAGTATTATTAATGAAAGTAACAATAAATGAATAACATACCTTACATAGGGAACCCACAAGCAGTAGTTCCTGTCTTGAACTGTAGTTGCTAATGTATATTTTTTGGAAGCTTGCTCTCTGTCTAATTCAACTCTTTAATGAAGAAACTCAGTACAACACCCATACTGAATAGCATTCTATCTGTGACAATTAACACCACATGTATTAATGTTCTCTGAGACCAAATGAGCATCTCAACTTATTCGTGTTAACTATTAAATGTTAATATGGATACACATTGTTATATTAATTAGTTACAAACAATAGTCAAACAGTAGTCAATATGAACTTTCAAAAATGCTAGATCTCATCTGCATGATAACTGTATCATAAGATAATCAACACAAAATTTAAAAAATTCAAATATCTAGACAACTTGCAAGATGTTCCATGTAGAGGAGAGCCATAAATTAGAGTTAAATGTAAGAAACAGAAGATAAAATAACAGTGAATGGAATCAACTTTACACATATTTTATGGAAAGAAAAATCCTGAAAACAAAATTACACTATTAGAAGAGTGTAAAAAATAATTCCAGTTATAGTCAAATTGTTAAGTTTCAAACTAATGTTGTTTTAAGCCAACTAGAAAGAGAGACTTTATCAATAATTTTATGATATTGAACTAAAATAACATGACAGATAAGTCAGCTGCTCTGAGCCAGTCAGCCTAATTGGCAGAAAGAAGTCAAAAACACAACCTAATTATTATCACAACCAGGAAAAATTAGCATATATTCCATGAAGGCAAGTTACTTGGAATAAGATTGGTGTGCTAGAAAAGATGTAGAAAAGATATGATATTTAATATATAACTTGTTATATTTGAAAACACATTGAAATTAGAAGTAAGTTTTAAAATTGAAAGCATTTTTATTTTCTGTGCTCAAATTTCAGTTATGCAAACTACATTTCAAAACTTGAAATAAAAAAAGACTCGCATTAAAATTACATTGGGAAGCTATTTAATATTGAGCAAAGGTTTTAAAAGTTACTATTTCTTTCTGAATAATAAGATCATCTTTGGACTATAACAAGTAACAAAAGTATTGCACAGTGTTGTGTTCATTAGGTTTTACAGAAAATGGTGAACTTGACTAAGTAACATGATTCAAAGTGTTACGTGTTTTCAGCAACATTCGAAGATGATGAATAGTTAATGCTTGTTCTCTATAATTTGTTTGGCTAAATCTGATGAGAGCTCTAAGTTAGTATTTAAACAAGATGTATCATCAACAAAGAACTACACTGAACTTACTTCTTTCCCGGATATTCGTGATGTATGTTTTTTAAAAAACTTACTATTGAAACATTTTCATAAGAATAATTATTATTGCTCTAGAGTTCTTTCAAATTCCTTTAGATAAACATTTTTAATAAATATTTCTACTTGTATACAAGTATATATTGAAGCCTTATTAGCAGTAAGTGGTTTTGATGAAACAATTGTACTTGTTTATTTTCAGGTTATTGCCGAAACCCAGTGGATGGAAAATGGTACTTGTTTGATGATACTAAAGTCAGTAGTATTCAAGAAAATGAAATAGTGTCTGCTGATGCATACATTCTCTTCTACCAGCACACAAGCTTAATGTCTTCATCATGTGCATCTTCATCTACCTCTGGCTATAGTAGTGCATCAACAGCATCACTAATGAATACAGATCACTGGGCCTATCGTATGCCTCCTTTCCGTTACTTACCACCCAAGAACAGTAAAAGTCAAGATAACCTGTGTGATATAGGTTAGTTTAATATAGAGATATAAATCATGAGAAAAGATGTTTATATATTATGCACAATGTCTGAACTGTTAATTTTGATTACAGCCTGAATCTTCAAATCTTAAGGGAAAAAACTTTGCCATAAGAAAAAGCATGAATAACTAACTCGTATCAAGACTAATTCTCCTACTCACCACAAATATAAAATGCTACTTATTTAAGAATGCTCGATAGACAACATGACAGTCTTTAGAATGTAATGTAAATGGTTAGTTGTCCTTTTTTTTAATGCTTTATCAAATGCTTATTCTGTATTCTGGGGAAAAACAATATAGATAGATGTATTAGTTTAAACATGTTCAACAGATGTTCAAGGAGAATTGTGACTAAGTCTGTATGAAATTTGAATGAAAATTATATATTATAAAGAGGTTCAAAACTTGCATGTCAAATCTTTCAGCTATGAAAGATCGTTCTATCATTTGTTAAGTGTTCTCTAGAAATAACTTGCTGTCAATTTACAAGAAAGTCTTCAAAATGACTGAATCCTAAAGATTTATGTTTATGAAGAATTTAGTTTTTTCTTCAAGCTAAGTAAATATCTAGCATTGATTTCATACTAGGAAATATCATCAAACTATAAGTATTTATTTACATTTGTAATTGGCCCAGCATGGCTAGGTGGTTAGGGTGCCTGACTCGCAATTTGAGGGTCACAGGTTTGAATCCCAGTCATATGCTTGCTCTTTCAGCCGTGTTGTTGTTATAATGTGATGGTCAATCCCACTATTCGTTGTTAAAAGAGTAGCCCAAGAGTTGGCGGTGGGGGGGGGGGGGTGATGACTAGCTGCCTTCCCTCTAGCCTTACACTGCTAAATTAGGGACAGCTAGCACAAATAGCCCTCTGTAGTTTTGCGCAAAATTAAAAAACAAACAAACAAATATTTGTAATTAATATTTCTGAAATGCTAGATACAAGGAAATAATTACAAAGGGATAGAAATTTCTACAGTTTGATTACTTGAGTTTATTTTCTTATTCATTTTCGTAATATGTTGCAGGTACCTCATTTGACAACTTAAGCCTGCGCCACAAAGAACCTTTTCAACGTGGCCAAAAGAAGTATTCCAGCATGATGCCACTAACTCCATCTAAGAGAGAACCTTTGGTTGTAAGCACTGAACTAGATAGACATTCAGATAATGAAGCTCCGCAAGATGAGGTAGATAAAAATGAAGTTGACAAGAAGTCTGAAAAAGGTGCATCCCCTGCACGAGTAGTGTACCGTGTAACAGCTGTGTAACTCTAACCCATTGGTTTGTGTAATTTTTTGCACTCATAACTTTCCTGCCAAACTCACGATGCTTTTTAAAAGGTGCTCTGTTGTTGTTGTTGGACACTGCTGCCAAGCTAGCCAGGAGCGATAGTGATCATCTGTTACTTTCTTTTCTCTCTCTCTCGATACATACATGCGTGAATAATATACATCATTGACTTGAAAATTAGTAACAAAACTAAACATTACTTTTCTTTCTGTATTTTCTCATGGTTGTTTTAATATAAACCTTTTTATTGCCATAGAGGTAATGATAAGCAGCGTAACCACTGAGATGCATTATGTAATGCATAGTAGTATGACTAAGAAGGGAGTCTTTGTGATTTACTACTTTCCTCCTCTACAGACTTTTGCTCAATACTTAACTTTGTTGTTCTTAGAAATATGTTTGGCAACTTCTTGCCCATGTAGAAAATTTTAGAGGGGTGAATAGCAGATAAAATATTGTAGACTTTTTAATATCCACATTTTATCTAGTCATTGGTCATTTCACATGATTTGTCTGTGTTAGAGGTAGTCATTATTAACTGTACTTTGTTACCTTGATTCTTTTTTTGACAAATCATGGATCTTCTCTACATTCCATGAAGCCTACCTTTGGTTTTATAGTTAAGTTTTTGTGTAGGTTTCACTTTCCTACAATATAAGCTGTCTTCATCTTATGGAGGGTGGGAGGGCCAAACCATTGTTTCTGAAGTTCATAAAAGTGAAAAAAAAATGAAACTTAAATATATATTGACATATCTGAAGAAGCACAAACAGTATTTTGTAAGCATCTAGGGCCAGTATTTTCCTTTCTGGTTGAAAAACAAGTGTATCTTAAGTATTAATTTTTACATACACTTCTCTTTTAAATTGTTTTATAACCACCATGCATTCTTTGTATTTTGGTGTTTTGATCAAAACCCATTAAAGTTATGCTTTTTTTTCTTTGCAATAATTGTTATTGTAGATAATACTAGTTTAATTATTTCTGTGCAATAAATCCATGAGATATTAACAATAAAAATTCATGTACACTTCATGAGAATATATTTGGATATTCTATAAAATGTTAGAAGCATTAGTGTATGAAAAAAATCTTGTGCAACCCTTGATTGATAATTTAGAATCAAAGGTTGCATTATTTTCTTTGAGTTCAGAATATCTTTGAGTGTTATATGTTGATGACTATATAAAGAGTTCTGGTGATGTAACTATTTAAATATTGGCAGTATGTTTCATGCTTGGGAGCATATTCCCTTCAACATGCTTTATTTGTTATGAAAATAACCTGAAATTGGGAACTGATGTTATCCAAATATATGTATTGGCAAAGTAAATGATTTACTTTGGATAAATGATAATTCATCCAGAGTTAATGTTATAGAATATTAGATTTATTTGCATTCTAATATTCAAAATAGTAAAGATTTTATTTTATAGCTTTGAATCTTGTACAAATGTATCTTAGATTGCACTCATCTCATTTTGCCATATTTCATCTTTCAGCTTAAGTTGAACTTTATAAGTATTTAAATTCTAGTTGGTTTTACCATTTGTAGGTTTCAAAAATTTGTGTCAAGCCTAAACACAGTACAAAAAATTCTGTAGATTTATTATATTAATAGTTTTATTAATTTTTTGTAATATGTTTTCTTGTTATAAGTACATTACATGTAGGGGCCTGAAAATTGCATGTAAGTGTTGAAATCTTTACAGAATTAGGTTATTATAGATTCATTATGTTACACAGAAAGAAAAGAAAAAAAAAGATTATTTGCCCATAATTATTTTAATACAAGCGATGCAGAACTGAAATGTAAACCATGATTCACTTTTCTAGAGCATTCATAAAATAAACATTTTGATTCATTGGTTGAAAAGAACAGAAGTACTTATGTTCACTGTTCTAAAGTATCATAATCATTACTATTAGTTTTAAGCTATGGAAACAGTTGTGAACATTTAAAAGTATCGTTGTCCTCCGTTCTAAGAGATATAAAAAGTTGTTGATATTGATCTAAGAGATGAAATATATTTATTAATAATACTTTCAGAATGTTTATGGCGAACAGAAAAATAAAATTTAGAAGACATAATTGGTTGATTAAATGCTTATATCTATTATTTTGCGGTATTAAAAATGCTAATATCAACCCTTCTGGGGTATTAACAAATTTCATATTCACTCCTTTGAGGTATTAAGAATTCTTACATTCACAGGTATTAGAAATGCTTATATCCTATTCCAAAGTGTCACAAATTTTTACAACCACTGTTCTGACTAAGGCATTACACACGTTTGTTTCCACTATTCTGAGGCATTACAAGTGTTACTATTCATCGTTTTGAAATATGAGGAAAAATTACTTTTTTCTCCATAATCTAGAGTATTAAATACATTTATAGGTTCTTAGGATGCATTACCGATAAGCAAACTGTAGTTTTCATATAATTGAAACAACAAAAACATTTATTACCACTTGTCATAAGATAAACTGTTGTGGCCAATAACCTGAAGAGTAATTATTATTTATGGTAACAAAGTATTTAAAAACTTACAAATTCAGCAATTTTTATTCAATCTAAAATTAATCTGTCTGATAAATAAAAATAGTCACACTTGTTGCCTTGATTTATTCCTCTTGTAAGGTATTTTATCAAGCAGTTTCTTGAGTACAAATCCATATTAAACAGTGAAGGAAACTCAAGATTTTGTAATTTCTGTAATTGTCTAATGTGGGTTTAGGGTCAAAATATTCTAAACATAAAAAAAAAGTAAATTATATGCTTGATTATTTTACAGAGCATATTAAATTTATACATTTTTGGAAGATTACTAATTGGACTTCAGTAAACATAATTTTAAAATCTTGATTTTTCATGTTACAGATCATATTTTGTTTGCAGGTAATGATGCAGTAGTTCTAGTTGCATACCAGAGTTAGTACCTAAAACCACATCATGCTAGTCAGAAGTTTATGTCTTGTGTAAAGAGCCATGTATATTACATTCCAGATTACTATTACTTGTTTTGATACGTAATTAAAAATAATGTTATAAAAGTACTTGCTGGTAATGACACACTAGCCAGGATATATGTGAAGAGTTGATATTCTGTGATTGCTAACTACTAAATTGTGATTGATTTTGAGATGTGATGCTATTGAATGTACATACACTTTGGGTAGCAGTTCTGAAAAATTAACTCATAAATTACTATTTTATAACTGTAATGGTCACATGTTTGATTGAATTAATTCATGTAAGTATATGTTGTTACAAGTGCTTTATTGACCATGATTTGAGAATTTATACACTAATGACTATATGATTCTAATGAATTCATGTGCTACTTTTGTTGAGTGCCTAATATAAGTATTCAGTGTTAATAAATAACATTTTGTAATTTTTATGTTTTCTGTATAATTGATATTATTTCTTGAAATTGTGAACTGTTGATGTTTCTTTATATATATATATATCAGCTGTACAAACTATTAGGATATACCAGACCTATATGATGTTTATAAAAACCAACAGGGTTATAATTTCGATTTCCTGTTGATCCAAGAATATAACCTTGATTTCTCAAACATGTATTTTGGTTATATTGAATGTACTTTATTAGTTACTTGATCACTTTGTGTGTTTTTTGTTTTATATTTGTGTTGAAAGGGATTGAGCTATCCAAGTTATTTATTCAATGTTTTTTAATATATTCAGTGTTTTATAATAGTCATAGTAAGTTCAGAATTTGAGAATAAGTTGACAAGAGTGGAGTACAAACAACTTATCACTTCAATTAGAAAATAAAAAATATAATTGAAACTCAAACATTCTGCTTTGTAGGTATTAATTTAGGTTTTTGTAAATTGTGGGTAGTATTTAGTATTAATAGAAATTTGAAAAAAAATCTACACATTATCTTAATAATATATCTGGAGTTGGGTATGAAAGTCATTGTTAGTAACAAAAGGAAAATTTATTCTAATCTTAAACTTAAAAAATAACAATGTTCTGTATGGATTTGATGTGTCTATAAATATGTGATTTTCATCTAAATTCATTACAAATATATGCTTATATAAGTGCCTCTTAAAACAGATTTGCCAGAGTAATCATTTGAGTCAAGCATAGGTATACTATTTGATTATTTATGTTATTGTGAGTTGGGTCATTTTCAATTTTCAGAATGTGGTGGGATTTTCTTTAAAACTAGGAATACATTGTGTAATATGTAGTTTACCTTGTGTCTTTTTATGAACTTCCACAAAATGTGTTTATATATATATATATATATAGAGGTAGAGCTTCAAAGCTGTTATATTAATTACATTAATTGTCAATAGTCGATCAAAGTCAGCACTATAAAACGAAAATTAACTTAATATAAATTCAAAACTATTTAAAGAAACAAATTTGTTATACATAAACAAATTCATACACATTTTATAGATCACTATACACACACAAAAGAAAATTTTACTAGAAAGTACTGAGCCTTTCAAAGTAGCATGAAATAGATGAGTGGAATACTTTTGTTGTACAATAGAACTTGTTTTTAAATCTATCTGCCTTTCTAATAGTATTGTGGTAAATTCAACTGGTAAGCAGTTCATTTTTTGGAAAACATAATTTAATAATAAAGAAGAGTACAAACCTAGTTACATGAAGCATTTATTAGATGTTTTGAAATCTTCAGTAAGCTGGAGGAACAAAAGTACACAATGGTAATTACATCAGAAATGTGGTATAATCTGTAATAAACAGTAATAAGTAACTTGAATATAAAAAAGAACAAGAGATAATTAACACCATGTAGATCAAATGAAATAAGTCTATTAAAATAGATATAAATGAAATGAAGAATATGTGTTATTTAGTTAGGGAAGAGGAGGAATTTTAATTTACAAAATCTCTTTTTATCACAAATTCAGTTTCATGCTTATCTCTCGAGAAGATTTTATTTTAAGTTCGAGAGAAAAATTTGATGTCATGTTTCTGCATTGTGTTGCTTGATAGTGGAGTTGAGAGGGTTTTTATCTCTTCTTCCAGTTTTTATAGATGTACCCATATGTTCAAATGCTCGTACTTCAAGGTGATGTTTAGTTTCACCAATATTAGAGGCCTTACAGCCTTTCTACATGTATAAATAGATAAGACATAAACAGTGTGCAATTGGTATGTGATCTTTGTCGTGGAAAAACATTTAAATAAAATAGATTAATTAAAATTAGAAATAAGTTTCAGATTAACTTGAGGATAGGTAACAATTACATACTTTTTCAGTTGCTTCATGATAAGAGAGATCTGTCTTCCAAGATATACTAAGAAGATAATACTCATGCATTTGATTTAAATCTATTTTAATATGACTTTATTTAATTTGCACTAGATACTGTTCATTTTCTCCTGTTCTATTTTTGTAATCAAATTGTTTACTGTTGTTTATTACAGATTATATAATTACCACTGTGTATTGCTTTTCTTTATCACATGCAACTGTTTCTTAAAAGAAAAAAAATTAGACTATCTCTTATACTCAAGCACTTACAAAAAAGTTAGCTTTTAAAATGTTTCCCTTTTATCATCAGGGCATTTGTGGTCCTCATTTTAGCTCGTAATATAAAAACTATACCTGTATGCCAGTGGCATGTAGGTTGTGCAGAAACAAATAGTATTGTTAGTACAAAAACATTAATTCTTATGTTAGATTATATATATTTTTTTTAGTGAATCTGAAAAATTGAAAAAAAAATTAAACCTAATATCTCTTCTGGCACATTCCAGAGGACAATGACAATCCAAGTGTTTTCTTAAGTTTCTTGAATTTGGAATAAAATTTTTCCAAAGCAATTTTCACTTTTATTTCAAATCTTTAGGCTTAAAAGACAAAAACAGATTCTGTGCCTTGGAAGACCAGATTTTATTTAAATAGAGACTGAAGTACCGTAAAATAAAAAATGTTGAGGATTTATCATTTCCTGTATTGTTTTCTTGATTTTTAAGGACAATAATTTTTAGAATGTCATCTTGGACAAACTCCCTACACCATAGAAATTAATTAACTACAGAAATTATAGTTGACTACAGAACAAATAGTTTACTGTACTAACTTTTTATATGTTCATCACATTTTCTCCAATTCTGGCTTTTTTTTGTTTTTTGTATGCAAATATAACTAGATAACTCAGTACTAAGTTGTGATGTTTTCAGAAATGAAAAATGTTTCAAATATTTTAAGGAATTCAATATTTTGACCAAATTCAAATTTATATCTCTGTATGTAGTGTTAAAATTTAACAATGTTCTTGAAAAACGGTACTAAGGGTTAAAAAGTGTTTTTAGTTTTTAGAGTTGAAAATTTTTTTATCGTGCAGATATAATGTTTATTTTCTTTTATTGAAACCAAGTGTTATGCTGTAAAATTCTACTGTTTTATAATTGAGAAATCAGTTATATATTTAACAGTAAGTGAAGGAAAATGTCTTATTTCATAAAATAAATTATAATGTGTTGATTAGTTATGTTTTTCAAGGATTCTTTGTTTTAAATTAAAGTCCTTAACACACCAAATATTGATAGAAAGAAAACATTTGTGAAAATACCAAAATGAAAGTATTTTTGTTGAATGCAAATATATAAATGTTTGAAATAAAACAAATACCCCAAAATTAGTAATATAAACAAAAAGGAGCATTCTCAATTTGCATTTTAGATGCAAATAACTAGAGTAATTTTCTATATGAATAAAACCAGTGTCTTCAAAGTAATATACATCTCTTAGGAAAGAATAACCTGAGAATCTGTATTAGAAATCTGATGTAAAGAGTAGCAATTTTGAAAATTTGAGATAACAACAACAAAAATCAGTTAATTTGCTCTAAATTATTCCGAGTACGATTTTTATTTTAATCTCAACTCTCATTTTATTTTATTTTTCAGAAGGTTTACTGTATCGTAATATTTCTAGCTGTTATGTTTCCAGAAAAATGAAGTAATACATGTATTAACAAGCTGCAAGAGTGTAGTTTAAGTTTTTAAATAGAAATAGTCCTTTTTGAAAATATGCAAAAGTATGAAAAGTTAGATACTCTCACACATATTGGATTGGAATACATCCAATATTTCATGTGTTATCAGCTTTTTGATTTCTTCGAAGATAATTCCTTGATTAAGAACTGATTAGGGAAAAAAATTCTTAAGACCTAGTTACCATATAATTAACTATTACAAACACCCGTAGTGTATGAGAATATGTCATACCCTTTTATTTTTGCTTCAGAATTGCTATTTGGAAATGTAAATAGCATAGTTATTCTTTCAGTCAGATTACTGTTATGATCAATGACAGAGTTCTTGTTGCTTACTACTTAGAGAGATTCATTGCTGTAAGACAGGTTTTTGAGTAGATTGATTGGCAAATAAAGTATATTAATTCAGATTTTACAGAAATAAAATGACAGTATATCATTTATTAGATTTTAATGATGTTCACAAAAGAAGCTTGGATTTATATTTTGTTGCCTCATTATAGTTTTGGTTATAATTACTAGTAAGTATCTATGGCTAAGCATTATATTTTCTTTTAAAATAGTGAATGAAATGTGCATTAAAATAAGTTACTTAAGAAATTTTGTTAATTTTTTTGTATATATATAGGTGTGTAGAAAGAGAAGTGAAAATTAGTTACCTAGAATTGTTCTCTGACAAAGCACAAACATAATGCTTCATTACTACTACTCATTACAGAGTGGTGAGAAAATGATGAGGCTTAATGCACACTGATAATTATTTTTTGATGACTTGTTTTGCTTTTGAAGCAAGGATTGAAAAGAAAATTTGTTTATGTAATTGTATTGTTGTTGTTATTCATTAAAATCTTTTTCAGCCTTTCAAAACAGTTGATTCAAATCTTGCTACTGTTTGGTTAACAGCCACCATGGGGATAATTAAATCTATTCTGTAATGTCTAATTGATAATACTTGAATCAAATGTACAAGTGACTGTAGAAAGGAACCACATCAATGAAAACCAAGTAATATTGTTTTTTTTTGTAACATTGTTTCATTGTATTTCCCCCAGTGATGCTAGTTCATAGGTGGCAGGTACTACTAATTGTTTGCCTTCCCTGTGCTCTGCAGTTCTAAATTAGGATGGAGTCTTTTACCGGCTGTTGTTTAGTTCATGTGTTTTATGAAATGCCTTTCAAGTTGAAAATATGAATACTAGTTTCTAAGGATTAATTCATGAACAGTAGACATCTTGCTTTTGGTATGTCAGTACATGCAAGTTGTTTTAGGGGCTGGTATTCAGAATAAAAAAAAAAGTTATCCACAATTTTGATTTAACAAGTATGCAAAATTACTTGCAACTTTTATATTTTCTTTAGTAGGTAAATTTTGCTGTGTAGACAGAACTATGAAGCAATAACTGTATTGAATGAAATCTAAATCTTCTGCTACAATAATTTTATTATTCTTTAATAGTAAGAACATTTTTCAACTAGTTAAACAGGGCAAGGGTGAAAAAATACAATAAAATACCAGTATTCAGTGGTTCACAAATGCTATGTAAATGCAGCTATAACTATAAAGTTAAAATTTATTAAGAAAGGTAGAGAGAAAATAGAAAAACCTCATACAAATTGCATTAATTCTGTATTTGTTGAAATTTGTATATTTCAGGTGAAACTGACTTTCAGAAAACTTTCATCATTTTTTAAATTCAGATTTCAAATAATATTCACTGTAAATCAAACCTTTTGTGATTAGAAAAATGGCATCTTCAATTTAGTTTTTAAAACAGTGGTCTATATTTGAACTTTGCTGTAGAAGTTAAATGAAATTGAGAATATTTATATCAAGTGTGTAGTCTAGTTCAAATTCATAGATTTTATCATTTACAATGTGACTTGTAAAGTTTCAAGAAAGGTAGCTTATGATTGTGATATATCTAATGCATGTAGTAAGTAAGAATTTTAAAATTTTATACAAGTTACATTCATATAATCATTATTAACATTGAAATATGTAAACATTTAAAGAAAACGTTGTTTTTTGGTTTTTTTTTTTTTACTAGGATTCACCTGTTTTTAAAATGCTTTTATAGCACATGTTCTTTCTTAGAAATTTTCATTTTACTACCAAGATTAAAATATCAAAACTAATGCAATTGTCTTGCAAGACATTCATTTTCTTGAAGTTATTTTGAAGTGGAGTGAGTGTATTCATATAAATTGATAATAATTTCTTAATTAAAATTCTGTAGTTTTTGTAATCAACTGTTTTATTCAACATTCACAGGAAAAAGTACCACAGTGTAGGTTCAGTGGAGTGTAATGATTTTTATAATCTCTAGCTGTTACTTAATATTAATTTCATCAAATTTAGACCACATACTGAATGAAATATATAGATTTTATTGCTGGAAGATGTTCCACGAACATTAATTTTTAATCTTTCCGTCAACATATGTTTTTTACTGTGTACATTTTCAATTTCATTTGAAAGGTTGTGAAAGATGTTTATTTAAGAAAAAATTAGGGTACATGATTCTGAACATAGTACTTCCAATTATTTAGGTATGAATTTTTTTGTGTGACTTAAAAATAAAAGGAGTTTATTGCAATATTGAATGGCAATGTATATAATCTGGGATAAGTTTAACAAAGCTAAAATATATTATATATATATATATA